TCTCCGTGGAGCACGGTCGAGTGTCGGCGCTTGGCCAGTGGACGCCAAGCAGACGCGGCGCGTGTCTCTTTGGGGGACACTGAGGCCAGCCACGCTCACCACGGCTGCCCTTTGCCAGGGTTGCCCACCGGCCTGGGGCTGGGTTTAGCATGGCTGTTAGTAGGTCAGAGTCTCCACGCACCTTCGGAGGGACATGCTGTGGGAGCCAGAAAAAAACAGTAAGTCCTTGGGGCCCAGACGGTTGCTGCGGTTGGCAGGGTGGGGGGAGGGGCGGGGGTCGGCTCTTCCTGCCATGAAGCCTGGTATAACCTGACCGATGCAGCGATTAGTCGGTTTAAATAATGTGACTCACACCGGCTGCCTTTCCACTACTCCCGGGACCAGCAGTGAAACAGGTGTATCAGTTTGTTAGGGCCGAGTGTACAGGTGGCAGGCAAACACAGGGGTACTGTGGCGAGGTTCTAGAGGCTGGAACCTGCAGTCCAGGGTCTGGTTCCTTTTGAAGGCTGTCGGCGGGAATTTTTCCTGCACGTCCCACTCATCTTGTGTTTGCTCACTGGCAATTTCGGGGTCCCCGGCAGGTGGAAGCCTCGCCTCGATCTCTGCCTGGATCTCAGGCGGTGTTCCCCTGTGAGTGTTTGTCTGTGTTCAGATTTCCCCTTTGTATGAGGATACCAGTCACGTGGGATCAGGGACCCCCCCTCTACTCTAGTAAGTATACCTCCAACTACTCTATTTCCAAGTAAGGGCACCTCATGAGAGCCTTGGGGCTAGGACGTCAACATGTTAGTTTTCGGGGGACACAACGGAACTCATAGCAATAGGAACAGAAGCGTTTGCTTGGTCCTATCACCCTAAATGAAATGTTATGTATATAAAATGTGTGTACGTTTAACTTGAACCAAAGAGAATTTAGCTATTTACTGTTTCTGCAGTTCTTACATTGGTCCTGAAAGTCTGTTGAATTGCAAAAAGCCAGCAATAATGAGGAAAAAAATAGGAGTTGAAAAACGGCAATGTTATCTTTTTAAAATCTGTATTGCTAAAGTGAACAGTGTCAGAGTCCCCATGGAGGGGGCATATCCAGCTTGTACGTGCACACGTCTTTAGCAGTTCAAGGTCAGGATTGGGTATTCAGCGTAAATATAAAGGTTCTGAGATCGTGGAAACATGATCCCAGATGCTGTTGCCATATGCCTCAGGAATTTTGCTTAAAAAATGCCAGGTCTAAATCATTTGGCTTTTCCGGTACAATAGACGAGTCAAATTCCCTTAACACAGAGCACCGAATCACAAATAAAGCCAGCTGGCTCAGAGAGCCTGCAAATTTCACTGCGCTGAAGTTTTATATTCAATCATTGCAATTTATGATCGCAAAGCTTTACATTTTATTTACAATAAAACCATGTTAGATTAACATTAAGCCATGTGCTGAAAACATTCTTGAATTTTTTGACATGTCTTTGAGTTCTCGCTGGGAGATAAAACCTGGAAATCTCCTGTTGCACTTTCTGTACTTTTCATAGTGAGAAAAAGAACCCTACTTCAAGATAGGCTTACCCACAACAAATACGTAAGTGGGGGCCACTTTTCATATCAGATGTTGTTAATGTGAAGTCAGTACCATAACAGCAAATGAGTCAGAGGGACGGCAGCGGAACTTCTCCCTTGAGCCCACACATTTTAGTTCATAATGGAAAGTGGGGTCCACTGCAGTCCTGGGTGCCATCTGTGTTGGGGCGACTGAGCTCCCCATCCTGAAGGGTAGGGACCGCGTCTGTCTTTTGAGCTGTCAGCACATGGCCGCTGACCCACCGCCCGTGCTGAATGAACCCAGGCTGAAAGCTTTCGGAGCCAGAGCGAGACCTCCAGGGACACCTGATTCACACCTAAAATGTCTCGCTATTTTGAAAAAGTTTTCCTTCCTTCTTCTTTTTTAAAAAATATCAGTGAAAAACTACAGCTTTTTTTTCTTCCTCCTGGGAAGGAAAAAAATGTTTCCCTTTTCTAGAAGTTGGGAGGGTTTCGGGACAAGTGAAAATGGAAACGCATTTAATGACCTGAGGGCAAACAGGCCAGAGGGTGTGCTCTGCAGGGACAACCCTCGTCAAGGAGGACGTCCCTGGACGTGGACTTGGTGCTGTCGTCTGAGTGCCGGAGGGGGTGGTGTGCCCACGCATCTGTATTTTTCACCTGGGGGTCCTTGTGGCGTGAAGGACCACAGATCTGAAAATGGCAGGCACCTTTAGACTTTAGACCCCACAATCCACTCGTGGCTCACAAGGCTTGGGGTGGGGACAGCAGCGGGCTTTTTTTTTTTTATTAACCCTGGACTGTGTCCTGAGACTCTGTCAGATGGACACCAGCGGCCATCTACAATGAAGGCGGCAGGGGAGAATGGAAATACTCGTAATTTTTCTTCTTAGAAGGGACTCATTCACATCATACACGGAAGAAACGTCCTTAATCAATATTTTAAGAGCAGTGTAACTGACACACGTCACTGGAAAGCCCAGGCCTGGCCCGTTGCGAGCAGCTCAGGGTGCACAGGTGTACGTAGGAAGGCTGGGGCCGTGCCCAGGCTTGGTCGGAGGCGGGAACAAGGTGGTTTCCGTCCCTGCTTGAGCCGCTTGCTGGCACCAGGGGGCCAGTGACGTCGTGGGCCATGTCCCTGTCCGGTGCCCCAGGCAGCATGCAGGGGGCTATGATTTGTCGGCAGGGAGGTGGCCCATGGGATGCACAGGGTCACCTGCCCACCCGAAGGACAGGTCTCACCCGACTGTTGTGTCCCCTTCCCCCGCATTGTCCAGTCCCCCTGACTTTGCAAGCCAGGCACTCTTTTCCCGTCTCCCCCCAAGAAGGGATTCATACGTGGGGGAAAACATCAAACTTGGTTTTTTTAATTTACTTTTTAAATTTTAGGTGAAAACTACAATACACGACAGAGAAGATTCCCTCCCCACTGCTCTTTCACTGCTGACGGAAAACGAGGTATCAGGCTGGGACAGAGCCTGAGGAAAGAGGGGCCCAGTTAGAAGTGGGAGAGACAAAGCCTGTCAAAGAAGCCTCACCTCTCTTTTAACCTGAAAGAGCCTTTTAAATGATCCCAGGGACCCTGGGAAACAGGCGCAGAACTTCTGCCGTGCAGAGGTGACAGGAAATGTCAGGCTGGCCCCCTGGTACCGACCTGGGCCCCGGGGAAGGCGGGTAAAGAGGTGTCTTCATCAGAAAGAGAACGCGCTTGCCTGCTCTCACTAGACTCTGTGTGGTCATATTTACACACTAGCATTTTCCTCAATGTGTTTTCTCATTACTGTTAGAACAGAGAAGAATGGCTCTTACGGGTTCTTTGCTGGCTTTTCGCCTTCAGCATGTGTATCTTTTTATTCTTCTGAAATTCCTTGGTGGAGGGTGGTTCATGGCACACCCTGGGGACCATGGCCTTTAGGATTAGAGAGGACCTCACTGTGATCGGGATTCGATGCGCGTTTCGGAGGCAGTTCCAACTCCTGCACTGAGACTGGGTTTAGGAAGGTACAAAGGTCCAGCCTACGTGCAACTACACAGCTAAGGCTTCCAACCGGAAAACTTGACTAATTGGTTCCCTGGGAAACTGCTCCTGGGGCCGACAGAACTGGTCTAACCCTGAACGTCTTCCTGGGAATCCTGCCTCCCGGGGCATCGTGAAGCCCCGCGCCCCGAGCCCCCCAGGACGCGAGTTCCCCATTCCCGGTACCGCCCGCGTCTGAGAGACGGTCACGGCACTCCACGCTTCTCGTGTTCAAAATCTCCACCGGCACGGAATTTGCCCAGAAAGTCTGATGTTGGTAGTAATAGCAAATTTTTTCCAATTCGGGCCCCACTAATACTGTTTCAACTCCGCGCAGGGGTGGGAAAGAAGACGTAACATCTATTTCTGAAGTAACGGAAAAACCTGTGGTTATATTTATTTTCTGATTTCTGTTGACATTACGGAGAAAATTCAAAACTTGTTTTCTTCAGCTCCGTCAAGGTCTGGAGTATCACTTCCATCACTAACGACCGCTCACGTGAGGCAACGCGACACCGCGCACCTTTCGAGGCGGCCCAGTCACGGTTCGGAAGTACGTAAGCGGTTTTTCTCCCAGTCCAGTTCGTCTTCCTGATGATTTTCATCCTTAATTGCACGTGCTCGGTGTAAGGTGTGTCCTCAGGTGGGGGCCGGAGGCGGGGCACCAGGTTAAGCGTGACAAGGGGTCTCGACCTTCCCAAGGCCTCGCGGCTGCTCTTGACACGATTTTTAATAAGAAAACAGTTCACTGTGCTGTTGGATATTGAAAATGCTCATTCTTAGAACAAACAGGTACAATACAGTATGGGTTTTGTACCTTCAGTGTGGCATTTCTTCGTTTTTTAAAATACAGGGGGCTTCCCAGGACTCCACCGGCTTCCGAAGGGCCTCTGTGTGTCCAGACAGATGGGGCAGCTGCGAGCTGCTGGGAAGGAACACCAGTCCCGGGTCAGAAGAGGTGACGTTACGCTTTAACTGCCTCTTACCAGCCGTGTGGCAATGGGCACAGTACATTCCCCGCCTTGGCTTTGTTTTCCTCATCTATAAGGCGAAAGCCAGACTCTTGGTGTTTACCTGGGGCTACTTTGAGGATGAGATGATGTAACAAATGACAATATACTTTGCACATTATAAAGCACTACATCTGCGCAAAGTAAAACATGTTACCCACACTTCTCGCATTTACAGAGTCTAAGTATGTTGTCAGGGCGTGGTTCCTTCCTACTGACGTGATGTGGAGACTTAACGCGTAAAACACCTAAGGATGGAGCCTTTGGCTGCTCCTGAGACACTGCTGTCCACGGCAGGTCAGGTCGTTCAGGACGCGGGGGCCGCCGCCCGATTGGGTCGCCTGCTCCGCCCTCCACGCCGTCGGCCCTCAGGAGCCGCAAGTCAACGATCAAACCACAACGGTCAGGAACAGAAATCCAAATAAATAGTTTTTAATTATGATACATTACTTATTACAGTAAAAATTGGCATTTTCCCCTTCAAAAGCAGAAGCACCAGTCTTAGAAGGTATAGAATGGATGGCATTTTAAGGGAAATAGAGCATAAAACTATGTGCAACATTATTTTAGTTTAGAATATACATTCTAAAAGTAATTGCACACACTGAAACCTGTTGGGATGGAAATAATGTCATGCTGAATAGCAAAGTAAAAACCCCCACTTCTAATGAAATAAGTCCACTTCAAATGAAATAACGGTATACTACTGAAAAGATAATAGGAAAAATTAAAAAGCATAACTAGCCCCAAATGGAGGAATTTCTTATGCAAATAGGACTTGTGCAGAGGTTTCTTTTCACGTAGTTCCGGTAATTCTCTGAGAAACCAACGTGGGTGTTATACTGCAGAATTAATTTGTTCATCGGGTGACCCCATTTTAATTGCACGCCTGCTTTGTGGGAGGCGTTGTTGTAGGTCTTGGGAAGGGGTACAGAGAAGAAAGACACAGCCCTGCCTTTGAGGAGCTCACAGTCTAGTGGGGGGACAGACACATCGACACTGGTTTTAAAATTATAAAAATTATTAGACAACTTTAGAAACTTCTTTCGCAATCAAACAAGCTTTGGGTGTTACGGATGGATGCTGAACAGGGACGATGTCCAATGCAGGGAGAACCCGGCGGCTTCCGTATCATGTGACTTCTGCAAAGGCGGCGATGTGGTTCTGCAAAGAGAAAGGCATTCCAAAGTCAGGGTCCGCGGAAGGAAATCGCCTTCAGCACACACGTGGGGCTTTCACAAACGATCATTAATCAGCCTAACAGAAAACCATAGCCTGCGCAGGCCTCGGGTGCAAAACCACACAGTGTTGTGGAGCTCATTCTATGTGTTATGATATCCGCTTAGCTGCTGCTACTTGTATGTTGTATTTAATAGTCTTAATTAACCAAATAAGGGTGGAAGCGTTGTACCTGCATTCTTCAAAATGAACACTGGCATTTGGAGAGAGGAAAACGGCCAAGCCAGGCACGGTAACATTCTGCACAGTGTTACCGGAACGTTGGCGCTTCGCTGTCGCTGCTCCTGCGAGACAGCTGCCACAGACGAGGGGGGACGTGCTGGCATTTGGTGACTGACAAAGTCTCACTTAAACACTCATTTTCGATGCAGGAAGCCAGACTGCAGACGGTTGTCTCCGTTGTTTACCTAAACCACAGAGCCCTCCGCAAAGCCTTTTTACTTTTTGTTTTTTTCAGGCAACAGAATTGGGTACAGAGAAGCCGCGTGGAATGGCCGATATGTACATGGGTTCAGATGTGCAACCGGCCCTCCCGTGGCTGCTGAAATGCTGCAGTGGAAAACCGACAGGACGTGACTAATCACGCCACACAGGCTGATGTCAAGACCGAACGCATGTGACCGCCCCAAGCCATAGCAGCGGCACCCCGGAAGGCTCCCCACCAAGCCTTTGAACGCTTGGCGTAGCAGGTCGGTACTGACTCAGAGTCAAAGGCATCCAATGGAATTTCATGAAACGCAATGCAAGCCATGCGGCCTCTCCTGTGTACAGGAGCTCCTTTCCAATTAAAGTGTAAAAATATTTAACTAGTTAAAACATTTAAAAAAAAAATGGGTGCAAAGACACTCAAGTTCATTTTCACTGAAGGCAGGCATATCACTTCACCACGAGGAGACTACCCCTGACTAAGGCTGAAGACATTCTCTGATTCTCTAGGTTTGACCGGCTTAACCTCAGAGAAAAACAGCATCGGTAAAATCAGCCGTGAGCTCAGTGTGCTTGCCGTTAACTCCTGAGAGGATCTTGGACACTCACATTTCCCATGTAAAATGCTTGAGGAAACTGTCGGGGACTGCAGCTGTTTATCTCAACATTTTCTTGCATTTCCCTTACAACACTGCAGGCGTGGCTTTGGGACAAAAACGACTTGTCAGAGTTACATGATCTGATCGAAGCCGTAAGAATGGCGGACACAGTACATCATAGGCTTGTTTCCACTGACCTCGTGAGGACGTGAAGTCTGTGAGCTGAGAAAATGCATGTGATACATACACAGCGTTTCAACACAAAATCGCCAAGGGTGCCGCCCGTCTGGAGGGGACCTAGCAGGAGGCAGTGACGGCTGGAAAGATGGCAGGATACAGATTTGAGATTAATCGGTGCGAAGCAACTGGGGGGCAGGTAAAGGGTGAGGAAGTGGCGGTAGAAAGAAAGGAAAGGAGTCTTAAAAAACGAACAAGAAAGGGCACAGTGTCGGAAGGGCTGGGCACCCGCGTGGCCTTGACCCAGAAAATGAAGTGTCCCCAAGGTTCATTGCGTTTGCCAAAGGTGAGCCTGAGTGCAGGGGACCCACCAGTCACCTTGCAAGGTAGAACAGGAACGTTAAAGGACCGTAATAACACAGAGAAAGTATCCAAAACAGACCTCTGATCATCAACGCAAAGCAGGACAGAAGCTAAGGAAAAGGCAAGTGATGCGTGAGCAACAAAGAATGGGCAACGTGACTGTATAAATCTAAACCTGGACCCGCTGAGGGAGGCAATGGATGCTAAGAAGACACAGCGACAGAAGGCTTACACCGAGACCGTCCCACATACGGACACGAGGTCACCTTAGAAACAAGGCCTTGAACGTATAACCATTTTTTATCCTCACCTGAGGACATTTTTTCATGGCTTTGAGAGAGAGAGAGAGAAGGACGGGGAGTGGGGAGAGGAAGCGAGAGAGGGAGAGAACCATTCATTGGTTGCCATCTTGTATGTGCCCCAACCAGGGATCCAACAGCAACCTAGGTATGTTCCCTGACTGGGAATCGAACCCGAGACCCTTCAGACGCCAGGGTGACGCTCCGACCCGCGGAGCCACACCAGCCAGGGCTGGGCATACAACTTTAAGACTGCTATTGAGGTCTGTGAAATACTGAGTTCAGTCTCGGCATTTACAGTCACGGCTCGCTGATGGCTAAAGCCTCCCCTCCCTGCCCACGGCAGCCCTTTCCCGGATGCCAAGTCATTACGAAGTTCAGCTGCGGGGTGACCGTGTGTTTCTGGACTGGCTATGTTTTGAGGTCCCAGGACCCTGGGGAAAAGACCCATTTTTTTTTTTTTTTTTTTGCGGTCAGCACCATTTCCATTTCATGTCACACTGAAGTTTTAACCTCTGAGATGACTTTTCCGATTTCACCGGAACGAGAAGGGTGCTGCTCTGCTCGGGCTTGTCATTTAAAGGTGGCCGTTAACAGAGAGACAAACTGATGAACATACAATATCGAAGTGACTGTGCATAGAGAAGAGACCATTAAGGGGGAAATTGAATAATAGGTTCTAAGTCCGCAGAAGGAATATACCAGACAGCCCAGGATCCATCTGTTCATTAATTTCACTGTCAAGCCCAAATGAACCCACAGCACAGAATCAAAGCGATGGATTCTTTATCTCAGCAGGCTTTACGCAACGAGATTAATTTTCCTGTAGTCGGGGAGGGGGGCGTTTTCTCTGAAGGAATCTGGGGAGGGACAAGCTAATGACTGAAGGTCCTCAGCCGCTCTAAGACAGTGGCTCTGTAGTATAACAGTTATGTCAGCAGGATGTGCAGAGGCATAGCCCGGGACACCCAGAGGACATCGCTCCTGTGCAGGGACTTACGCTGCTGCTCGTTTTCCCATCAGCACGTTTCTCAGGCCTGTACAGAACCAGGACTGCATTTAATGTCTCCAGATCACCTGTGCTGAGGAACGGACTCCCAGGCAAACTGGGGGGCAAGGCGCCTCTCCTTCAGATGGAAAGTTCTTACTTTGCGACCGTAAACCTTATTAGTAGATAATAGTGCAAACACGCAGTAGGCAAACCAAAAACTCATGCATAAAAGCATAATTTGGAGTCACAAGAGGAAGTGGTCCTATGTATCAGTCATCCGTACAATCCCTGGGGCCTTCTTCCCAAAGTCACACAGTCCAAGGCTCGGGTGCAGGCGGCAGACTCCCGAGCCCAGGGCCGAAGATGAGGAAGGGCCGCGTCCGTGAGAAAAGCGTTCACTCAAGCCCACAGCAAGTCAGCAAAGTACTGAAGCCGGTCCTTCAGGGCAGAGTTCCCATGCAAAACAAGCACCTTTTCTGAAAGGCGTTCGGGACCCTTAAACTTGGTAAATTCTGAAGTCTACCGTAGGCCGATGGTGGAAGCTCTAAGAGCTACACGCAAATCGGTAGTTCCCGCTTTTGCAGAAATTCTGTAGTTTTCAAAAAAGTGATCTAGAACAAAACTGCCACTTATTCATGACATAACCATCTGGCGATGACTTGCCGGCAGACACCATGTGGCACCAGCGATTTCCCTCCAAAAAAATGGGGGCCAGGGCAAAAAGAGCCCTTCATGTGGGAAAACAGGAAAAGCCACCACAGAAAGGGCGTTGGGCTGAGGGATGTTACATTCCTGTTCACGAGCGGGAACCCAGTGAGAAAATGAACTCTATTTGGAAAAGAAATAACGCCAATCAGTACCCAGGTCCCTTGGGGGAGCGACTGAAACCCGCACGGAAGGACACGTTTTCTGTATTTGCCCCGGCAAAGCAGCCCAGCCCACGCCAGTGCGCTCAGGCGCACCTGCGTTTATTGCCTTAATCGCAGGTGTTCACAGTGGCTCATCCCCATTATCCAGCTGAAGAGCCTCACGAGGCAGCCTTTGAAGGACCTTCCCTGCGAATGCTCTTCTTGACCACGCTCAGCGGGTTGGGTTCGGGACACCTACAAAATGTATTTCATGTATTATTTCAGCGTTTCTTTAAATACTGACTGATTCAGTTGGACAAGGGATTAGTCGGCTTTCAAGTTCTATGTCGTTACAGTGCTGGATCGAATGCTGAGGCTAAATATTTTCCCGGTTTCTTTCTTTCAAGATGACTGTAAGCAGCTTTTGTGTTTTAACGGACGGTTGTCAGCCATCCGCTTAGGTTTTTAGTCTTAACATAAAATGGGATTTGTGCAGAGATGGGCTTTAATTCATGATGTAGCCTTCAGCTTTACTGGTAAGGAAGCTGTGTGGTCCAGTGGACTTTGAAGTCAGGGGTTTGAATGTGGGCCCATAACAATGGAACTTTCCACAAGCTATTTGACCTTTCAAAGGCCCAGCTTTCTCACCTGGGAAAGGGCAATAATACCCTTTAAGTGGATTTGTATTAAGATCAAATGAGATTATACGCACAAGGCCCTTTTCTCTTCAGACACATTCTAGTTGCCTATAAAAGCCACAGAAACAAAATCAAAAGTAAAAAAAAAAAAGGTAAGAAACCAGGAAGACTTAAAAAAAAATTGGTTAGAATTTTGCAGTTCTGCAAGTTTACAATAATAGTATGCAAACTTTAAAACCCAAATATTTCCTTTAAGATTGCTACAAACACGTTGGAGGGCAAAGGCCGAACCCGGGTGGACGGAAGGAGCTGTGCTGTGTCCTGTGTCACGGAGTGTCTGTCGTCACTTGCAAATCACCACTGCAGATCCTGCCCGTGTGACAGAACACACTACTTTCTTTGAAATACAAAACCTTTTGAGTCCTGAGAAACACCTAGCATGAAGGACTTGGGATAAGGACCCGTGACCCTATAGTTATTAACAAATGAGTCTCAGCCGCGGTTATGCCGGCGTCTGAGCTGAAGTGTGCTCGACCTGCGCTCGCCTGGGAAAGAAGGTTTTGGGGAGCCGCTTCTTTCTCCCC